CCTGTGGCCCTTTGCTGCGTGCCATTCCCCCTCTCTACCCACCTTTCCTGTCTATCTTCTGCTGTCTCTATCGAATAAAGGCAATAAAAGGCCAAAAAAATAATGTAATAGTAAATGTAATATATATGCTATGATATGATATGTGGCAACTAAAACCTAGACAATGTCTCGTGCAATTATTGTATTTAGCAGAAAAATAACTCAATGGAAGGTGAAGTGTACCTCAGATATAGACATGTACAAACTTTGTAGACAACAAAGTAGAATTACTAGAAACTCCAGACTGATTGTTCTAAGTGCTCTTATTCTGATTAGCACTGGCCTTGTAGTGCTGCATTAGGCTTTATGCTCATTATACAAGTGTATTATGTAAATAAATAGCCGCTGTTGATGATGTGTACTGCTCAGCGGTCCTGACTGAACGTCAAGGGCTCCACTCCCACACTCGTTGGCTCGGTGAGATGTTTTGGCAGTTATTGTGAAGAATCGTCATTAGCTGTGGGAGCTTTGTGCATTATCGTCATTCATTCTCTCAGACTTTCTGTCATATTTTTCTTCCTATTTCTTCTTCTTCTTCTTCCTTTTGTTTCCCTTGTGTCTCATATACAGGCTCTCACATACAACCCTCCTGGTTGTGAGAGCTGGAGGCAGTTTGATTGTAGGGGAAAGAAAGGAAGAGTGGGAGCTGGTAAGAGCGAAGGAGCAGCAGAGTGTTCTCCCAGTTTGCTGCGTAAGGCCCGGATGAAAACCTAATTACTAGTGTCTGTGGGAGATGGACGTGTTTGGCTCGTCAGCAGAGAGCAGCCGGAGATTCAGGGGCTTCGACGGTGCTCTGCGGCACGGCTGCGAGGCATTGTGGGAAAGCTGCACCTGTCAGAGGACCACTGACAGCTTGTCCTGCTCTTGTTATACAGCCATGCGTGATCCCTCCCATTAGCAGGCCAATGACACAGTTGACTCGCTGTCTACAGGAGGGCGAGGGGCCAAGGGGGAGGATCTTTACCAGCCATGATGCTTCTGTTTGGCGCATTAAAGCTGTCAGTGTGACCTGGTTTACACTACCAGCAAGAAACTGATTTTTTTTCTATTTATTTGTTTTTCTATCCATCTATTTATCTGTCTGTATGTATTCCCCCGTCTAGAGCTGGAATAATTCAACCCAAGTTATTTAGCGGGAGTTAGTTTGCCGTTTATGTTCAGAGACAAAACTTCCCTAACCTAACCCTAACCCTAACCTTTACTAGAATTTAATTTACACATGCAGATATTGTAGAAAGAGAGAGATGTTGGCATGAGACATTAAAAAACACTGGCATTGAATGTATATTTGGGTTTTACAGAATCATCCAATATCAACATACTTTTCTGCTGATTGATTGATTGAGATCATTTACAGTAACATAATTTGCCTTTCTACCATGCAGCTTGCCATTAAAACAGGGTATTACCATCAGCAGGAATTATCTACTAAATATTAATTAAAGGATTAAAGGTCCAGTGTGTAACATTAAGGAGGATCTAAGGAGGATTCCCAGGTCTTCAAATACAGACATGTGATGTATTAAGTTAGTTGCAATCTTAAACTTCACCACTAGGTGCCACCTAACCTGACACACTGATCCTTAAATGAGTGTATTGCCATGTGACAGAAAATAATAATAAATACCTTTCAAACAAGCAGTGAGCCCAAAATTGGTATAACATGTTTAAATAGAAAAATAACTTGAACACACAGAGCAATATCTTGTTCCCCCATATACAAGATATATCAGGACTTTAGAGTTGGTCTTCACTCTGATTATCAATCTGTTATTTCTCTGCCTCTGAATCTGAAGAGAAGGATATCCAGTGAGGTTTTTATTGACTGTTAAAAACTAAATTTTTAGTCTTTTACTAAGAATCTGTTATTATGCTCCATTTCTGTACATTTCTGCTCAATTTTAGAATTTTTAAAGATGATAATGGGCAATTCTTCTGCTACTTACAATTGTTGGCACTGTGGTTAGCATTATGCTTATTACATATTTATAAATGTTATTGTTATTCTAAAATTATTATTTTAAATATATTTTAATATTTTAACTTTTATATGTGATTTTGCATTAATTGTTTATATTGTGATGTATATGTATATTAGGCAAAAGGGTTATTAATGTCATTATATTGATTATAATATTAATTTAATATTGATCTTTTTACCATTTTGACTACCTGTCTATAAGTTTTCAAAAGTGAGTTTATGAATTACATTGTATGTCATCATATCATCATATTCAAATATGTAGTTATGTTTGTGATATTGTTGACATCATGTGTTTAGAAAAAAGTACAAAAGAAGAGTACACTCCTGAAGTTGTAAAGTCACTGGTTTGGTCAGATCAGGGGAAGGCAGTGAGTAACATCCCTCTGCCCAGTTGCCCTTGAGCAAACCATCACCCACTAACTGCTTCAGTGGAGCAGCTCAGTGTCCGGCAGCAGAAGGCTGTGCCTCATTCCGCTGCGTTTTCTATGAGTTCTTCAGCCTCCCTGCAGCTACTCTGATAGGCCATTTCTGTAAACAAGAATTTCTTCTTTCTTAAGTGCCCAGTTAAATGAATGTAAGCTTTCTGCTCCGGGCAGCTTTGGTCATCTGCATTAAAAAGTAAAAAAGTTGCCCACGTTTCACAAATGTTTAAGTGTAGCACATTAGTTTTAGAGAGATTGTACTGTTAGTTGTCAGGACTTAAAAAGACTCCGCAGAGGGTGGAGATGTTTATCTGGAAATTCACAGCTCTCTGCACGTGTTTTCACCCAGGCATCCGAGTTTGGGAATGACCCGATTGTACTGACAGCAGGAGACTGTTTTTACACAAAGACAGCTGATTTCAGAGACGCCTCCCGACTCTGCGGGTCACCCAACACTCTGTTTGTTGTGACAGCAGACTCCTCTGTGTGTTTCATTGTGTGTACACGTGTGTGTGCACACGTAGGTGGAGCTGAGTAAGAAAAAGAAATTTCTCATGTATTTCTTTTCCCATATTTTCACTTAAAAGGCCTCTGACTCCTCAGCGCAGCATTTCTCAGCACTTCGTATCTGCCAATCACCCTTTTCTCCCACCACTTCACATTCTCAGACAAACCTCCCTCCTTCAAATGGTGGAGGACAGCCTGAGTAATGGCAACCTACAGTAAACAGACCCAGATTGTCATGTGAAATATGACAGCCATATGAACTAGTGACATTCCTGGTTATTTGTATGTCTCCAGAGTAGAAGAAATGATGAATCTACACTGAGATTATTTCAATGTTTTGCTGCCTGCAATAATTTTTATTCTATGCGTGGAATATATTTATTTTTGTAATAATCATATTGTGCACAGTGCTATGAATATCTAAATCATGCAGTTCATATTAAATTACAGCAATGGGAAACTGACATCTTAGTTTTTGAAATTGTGGTTTCAAACATTTCAACATTTCAACATTTCAACACTTTGCCAGTGAAACTAAATGTTATCTGTGATTTATCGTATTAAAGGTAAAGCTCTAAAGCTCTCTCTCATGATTGGATACATTTGGAACGGGTTACCAGTGTTGTATTTTTTGTTTGCTGCAGAACCCCAGCTAGCAGGGAACATTCCCACAACATTGGCTCGCATTCCCTACAACTTCTAAGTATGATTTAAAGAAAACATTTAAGAATGTAAGTATTTCAAATAAAGTTCTTATAAGGTTAAATGTTAACTAAGACATAACAATTTCAACTGTAACATTCAGAAGATGTTCTCAGAGGCAGAGATTAAGTTGCACGATAACAAAGGAAGAACATTTTCAAAGCAACATTCGGATAATGGTTTAAGGAAATTATTGGGATCCCAGATTACATCATCTTTTCATAAAATGTTCCTGTAATTTAATGTAACATGTAACATTTTGCCTGCAAACATTCTGGGGATGTTTTGTAGACGTAATTGAGGCAACAAATTATAGAACCTTCCTGTAATGTGAATGTTAACAAAGGCAGAACATTTTTCCTGTAGGGAAGGATAATTTGGTAACGTTATTGAGGTTACAGATTATACAATATTCTTCTATAAAACATATGCAGAATATTAGGGTTTTCTCATAATATTCTAATAGTTTTATAGTATTTGAGTAAAAATGTTACGACAAAACATTTAAATATTTTTTAAGCATGTTAACTACTCTGAAATAATAACATTTTGGGATGTGACAACCTCTCCACTCCACTAGGTGTTCTCATTCTTGGTTCTCTTTTGTTTTTCAGATCCTGGTTGGGGGTGGATCGGGCTGATGAGCCACACCAGGCCCGCTTTAGTGGGCTGAAACACGGGGGAGAATCATCAGGAAAAAAGTACCGCATTTGGTCATCAACACCTACAGTATGTGTAGCTTTTGCTGACAAGGGATCTCTTGTGGTCGTGTGAATAATGACTGTTGTCTCATTTTCAGGAGGAGGTTAGAGTGAGTGGTTGGATGTACAAAGCCTCTGGGTTTAACACTCAACACCACAGTTTGCATCCCGTCCCCTACAAACAGTCAGTGGTTTCTTCTAACCACAACTTAAAGGTGCCCTGTGGAGTTTTCTTGTAAACAAACAATGTCATACACAGCAACAGTGACACGGATCATGCATAGAGATAATTGCTCTATGCTCTATAATCACTCGTGTGCACATGCATGCGCGTCCTCATGGCGCTACTAGTGGTCAAAAACTCCTAAATCAAACATGCATTATCTTTCTATCTCTATGTTTTGAATAATTCCCTTTGGGTTTTTTTTGTTGTTGACAGCTTGGGAAATGACAGATTGTGACCGCTGATCACTCATACTGTAACGCTGACGTCTTTTGCCTCTCGAGCTGCAGTCAGACAATAGACGCCTTATGGGCCGTCACACATACTTCACATGCCGCTGAGACGTGGTGGATTCTGGCAAAAACCTTGTCTTCATTTGTTTTGTATCACTATTCAGGGCTTGTGATGGAGGACTCCTACAGTCGGATGACTTCTCACTCTGTTCTCATGTGACAAGGAAAGAAAAAAGAAAAAAATGTGAATGTTTTTCTCTCATTTTTATTAAAGGTTTAAAGTCTGGGAGTATTTTTGGTTAATTTTTGTGTTTTACATTTGTCCCATTCAACTTCACTGTATATACATAAATGCATAATATACACACAGAGTTTAAGTTAATCTGTTAGGAAGATCCATGATATTAAAAAGGTTATATTGTCAGCTTTTTGTTTCTTAGTTTGTTTCCGCCAGCAAAAGTTGTGGGGCCAGGGGTATTTTCAGATTTCAAGGGGGATTTCTGATCTGGTTTGTTCAACTATTTATGT